AGATATTACCAAATATTTCAATAAATAAAATAGTTTTCCAACAAATTCATAATTAATTACATGTTTTGAGTAAAAACTAATTTTAATATTAATCGCATGTAAAGAAATGCAATTTTATTATTAATAACAAAACTTGTCTTAACATTGAACGTATGTTATAATGTGGAAAAGGTTTACATAATAACGGATTTACTTATAAAGTTTACTATAAATCTATTGACGAGGAAATGGATGTGCGATAACTACTAGAGTCGGAAAAGAATAGTGGGTACGGCCTACCAGACCTTGAGTCTCAGTTATTAATTGACAATTAAAATCATAATGTGAGTGATTATTATAAATGAAAAACAGCGAATTGTTTTATATACAGAATACTGTAATAACTTACAGTATATGTAAATGATGGCGTATAGACACCATAATACACTGACCGCGGTCAAAATAGGGTTGGAAGTGCTATATATCCTAGCGATTATTGGATGTATCATTTTAATAGTTACCTGTTCTCTCGGATTAACACAAAAGGACCCAAATATCAATAAAGATAATGGTATGCTTTAAGATGTTTTTATATTAATAACTTATTATCAAATGTAAAATTATATTAAAATCTTGTAACAAACTTTTGATACGACATCCCTGAACACAGTGACCATCGCACTGGTAGCCGCCGTGTTTGGGCTATTATTCACTTTCATAGGATTGGTCGGAATCATCAAAGAGATCATATGGATTGTCTCAACTCTACTGGTGTTTCAAATAATTGCAATTATCCTGAACCTAACATCTGGTGAAGTGGTGTCTGCCGTGTGGGGCATATTGTGTGCTATACTGACCGCTATATACCTATACCTCATTACACAGAAGCAAAAGGAGGGACTGGAGGACTCGCCCACCGATAAATCATAAACATATCAAATGGATGTGAATTTAATAAACATATTTTACTTATTCAAAACTTAGACATCCATTAAAATCATTAATGTTTGCTCTGTACAATAAATAAGTTATAATATTATGTATTAACTTATTATCGTACGTTTACCAAAATTATATTTAATTGTATTCGTCAAATATAATCCGTTTTAAAAAGCAATAAAAATTAATTTTTTAAAGATATTGATTAAGATTTATTAAAAATATGAGACAACAAATCCAATGAATATTTTCATATTTTAAGTAAAATTCTAAAAGTCTATAAAATATTTTGTATTAATTTGTAAGCAATTAAAAAGTTGGACTTTTTAGATTTTTACTAGAAATATGAAATTATTCATTAAATTGATTGCATAATAAATATTAAATATATTCTGAGAAAATACAACAAATTTTTCTCAAACACATTAATACATAAACAAATACAATAAAACTGGTTTTAAAATTGAAAGTATAAAAACCTTGACTTTGAATGGTAAAGTATTTTATATTTGACAACTCATTTTTAAATACACACTGAATTTTGATCAGGTTGCATCAAATTTGTTATTAAATAAAGTATAATATTTGATTAATAATATTATGGCGTTTAAACATAAGACAGCACTGACCGCGGTCAAAATAGCATTAGAAGTGTTATATATCCTGGGAATTATTGGGTGTGTGTTTCTGATAGTAATCCTTGCGCTCGGATTAGCACAAAAGGATCCAGATATCAATAAAGATATCAATAAAAATCATGGTAATTCTTAAAATATACTATACTTATAATAATACTATAATAGACTATTACTAATAGCCTTACATATTACAAAATTATATTGAAAATGAATCTAATGCCAAACTTTTGTACACCCCACCCCCTTTTACACAGTGTCAATAGCATTGGGAGGCGCCGTGATTGCACTGTTAATAACGGTCGTGGGTCTGGTGGGTATCATCAAAGAGATCAAATGGATTGTAACAACTCTACTGGTGCTGCAAATCATAGGAATTATTCTGAACCTGACCACTGGTCAGGTGACCTCTGGCCTGTACGGTATTCTTACCTCCATACTGACCGGGGCATTCCTATACCTCATCAAGGTGAGGGACTGGTATCATCAAAATGAGGGACTGGAGGTCCCGAGGCCTAATAAGGTGTAAACATATGAAATAGTCGTGTTTTTAATAAATCAAAGAATTTGATTACAAATTCATTTAAGTGTTAATATTTTACATTAAATTCTATGAATAATTGTGGCATATTTACCCAATTATATATATATATATATATATATATATATTATTTTATTTTACTAAACAAACTTCACGTGCTTTTGAGGGACCATTATGTAAGCGAAATTGGATTTTGAACTTTTATTCCGAAT